TTTTTTTGTTTTTTTTTTTCATTGTCCACTTCTAAAGTGGGCATGCACAAGTAATCTGTGTCCAGAATAAAAGCATTTTCTTAGTTGAGGTTAATGAATTAGTTATTCTGAAAGTGCCGTGTGGAAATATCTTAATGTTACAGTTAAACTACAAATTAGTATAATTTTATTTCTAGTCTTTTGTTTTATGAAACTGCTGAAAAATGCACACATTGTTGCAGGTGGAACCAATTATAGTGGCTGTGGTTATTGTTACCTTATGCTTCCACTGCAAGGATCTGTTCTCATTCACCTAATTGCCAAGTGCTTAACTTTGTGGGACCGGTTTTCCCTGGCTGACCAGGTCACTGGGGATGCAGCCGCAGGGTGGCAGAGCCCAGCAGGTGGGCTGAAGGCAGCTAAAGCGGGAGAAATCAATGCCAAAAGAGGGAAACCTAAACAATTCTATGATTCTATGAAAAGACATTTCAGTGGCAAGAGTAAATGGGAGCAAACAGGAGGGGGCACGAGCTCATAATTTTGAAAAGAAAGGTCTGCAATATATTTCCATCCAGATTATGTAGCTGAAAGCAAAAGTCTTTGTCTCCTGATGCAAGTGAAACATTCCTCCCTGTCTCTCAGTGGCTAGTCTTGTGTTAGAAGACTATAGCCAACATGTGCTGTGTGTGATGATCTCTAATTATGCAGTTGCATTGTAAGAAAGTCAAAATCTTAGATGGTTCATGTAGAGGTTTGATGTGGTTCTCTTCTTGTCTCTTTTGTTTTACTTTTTTCTTGCTTTATGTTGAGAGAACATAAAGCTGGTCAGGATGTGCCAGGTTTAACAATAAGCAAGCAAGATACGGATTTCAGTGGATGTTTCTGAAATTTTTTATCTTAATATTGATAATTTATTTACTTGGAGAAAATGGACCATATGGTGGGCTAACCACAAGGGTGCAAAGGTAAGTTAATAGAATCATAGAATCATAGAATGTTTAGGGTTGGAAGGGACCACTAGTGGTCATCTAGTCCAACCCCCCTGCAGTGAGCAGGGACACTGCTAACTAGATCAGGTTGCTCAGAGCCCCATCCAACCTGGCCTTGAATGTTCCCAGGGATGGGGCCTCCACTACCTCTCTGGGCAACCTGTTCCAGTGTTTTACCACCCTCATTGTAAAAAATTTCTTCCTTACCTCTAGCCTGAACCTACCCTGTTCTAGTTTAAAACCATTTCCCCTTGTCCTAACACAGCTGGCCCTACTAAAAAGACGTTCCCCATCTTTCCTATAGGCCCCCTTTAGGTACTGGAAGGCCGCAATCAGGTCTCCCCGTAGCCTCCTTTTCTCCAGACTGAACAAGCCCAACTCTCTCAGCCTGTCCTCATAGGAGAGGTGCTCCAGCCCTCGGATCATTTTTGTAGCCCTCCTCTGGACCCGTTCCAACAGTTCCATGTCCTTCTTGTGCTGAGGGCTCCAGAGCTGGACGCAGTACTCCAGGTGAGGTCTCACCAGAGCTGAGTAGAGGGGCAGAATCACCTCCCTCGACCTGCTGGCCACTTCCCCCCGCCTGTATTGATACTGGGGGTTACCCCAACCCAGGTGCAGGACCTTGCACTTGGCCTTGTTGAACCTCATGAGGTTCACACAGGCCCACCTCTCCAGCCTGTCCAGGTCTCTTTGGATGACATCCCTTCCTTCTGGTGTGTCAACCGCACCACTCAGCTTGGTATCATCCGCAAACTTGCTGAGGGTGCACTCGATCTCGCTGTCTAAGTCATTGATGAAGATGTTAAAGAGCACCGGTCCCAGTACAGACCCCTGAGGGACACCACTCATCACCGGTCTCCATCCGGACATTGAGCCATTGACCACTACCCTCTGGATGCGACCATCCAGCCAGTTCCTTATCCACCGAACAGTCCACCCATCAAATCCATAGCTCTCCAATTTAGAGAGAAGGATGTTGTGGGGGACTGTGTCAAAGGCCTTGCAGAAGTCCAGATAGATGACATCCATTGGTTTCCCTCTGTCCACCGTTGACGTCACACCATCATAGAAAGCCACTAGGTTTGTCAGGCAGGACTTGCCCTTGGTGAAGCCATGCTGGCTATCTCGAATTATCTCCCTGGCCTCCATGTGCCTTAGCATAGCTTCTAGGAGGATCTGTTCCATGATCTTCCCAGGCACAGAGGTGAGGCTGACGATGTTGGTGAAGGACTCAGTACAAGAGTACCAGAGGCACACTTATAAAAAGGGGTGTAGGTCTGTATTTTGTGCATGGTGTGGATGATGTTCAAGTAGGTAAAACCAAAATACTGAGTAAGGCAAGTGTCCTGCCAGGTGAATGGTATGTGCTTATGCAATTTAAGGCTAACAATTAACCACATGCTTGCAAGGGCTTTAAGGCTGCACAGGCTTGTGCTTCCTGGCCTTCAGTCTGCTTCTGTATTTCTCATCTTGCAAGTGCTTGACCTTAATTTTCTTTGAATACCTTTCTCTTGCCACTTAACAAAGGTGGTCCTAGTGTTAGAATAATTTCCTGTTGTATGAATGGGAAAATAAAGATTGAAAAAGGGATTAGAGAAAAAGCTGGAGCTTCTGTAAAATCCTTAAGGGATTGTAGGAGCAGGCACATTCCTGTGGGTGAGGGCATCCTCCAAGTAACCCGGGGTGTAGAAGTGCCCTTACCTAATGGGTGCATCACTACTAGAGGAGGGCAGGAGCAGGGAGAGGCCAGAGCTCTCCAAGGCGATGATGCTGGTGCTTGACTGAAATGAAATAAAGAGGGTGCTGTGTGGGTAGGGGACTCAGCAGGGGTTTTTGGGGTCAGAAACATGCCTGGGGGAGGAGAAGCTGCAAGGGAAGACTGACGGATAGTGGTGGCTTACAGCTCCAGGCTGGGCTGGAGGGCTTCATAGCACAGCCAGTACCTGGTGCAGGCAGCAAAGACCTGCAAGCTGGTAAATTGGTGTCTGAGTGCTTTAGTGGTGTTTAAGCCCTGTCAAAGAGTAAACGTGGAAGCAAGCAGAGGAAATGTGGGTGAAGTAGTTCTGGCTGAGCAGTGAGTTGCTGGGCAGCATCTGAAGGAGGTATGGAGTATGTGGATGGATGAAGGTGGATGGAGTATGTGTGGTAGCTGGGCAGAGGAGCCCAGTTCTGCAACTGTGTTTCGCTGTTAATTACAGAATCACAGAATGGTTGTGGCTGGAAGGGACCTCTGGAGATCATCTTGTCCACCCCCCCTGCTAAAGCAGGCTCACCTAGAGCAGGTTGCACGGGACATTGTCCAGTTGGGCCTTGAATATCTCTAGAGAAGGAGACTCCACAACCCCTCTGCGCAGCCTGTTCCAGTGCTCTGCCACCATCAGAGAAGTTTTTTGACATATTCAGGGGGAACTTCCTGTGTTTCAGTGTGTGCTGGTTGCCTCTCATCCTGTAGCTGAGCACCACTGAAAAAACTCTGGCCCCATTCCCCTGACACTCACCCTTAAGGTAAGCATTGATAAGATCCACTTATGTTTCCTCCAGGCTAAACAAGCCCAGCTCCCTCAGCCTCTCCTCATAGGGGAGATGCTCTAGTCCCCTCATTATCTTTGTTGCCCTCCTCTGGA